TAGCTCTGACTCCCAGACAACTTTATTTATTAACATACAATCAAAATAATAATTCAGTACAATTAGATTACCACCACACTTCAGGGTTTCCTATCAGCAAATGTACTGTAAACCCTATGCGGTAAGAGGACAGAGTGCAATACCAATGGTTTCTGGGTCAAGAGTAAGAAGAATCTGGACCAAATCTTCAAATCTACCAGCTTAGATAACCAAGTTGATGAAGCTCTCAGGGAGTTTTCTCTGGGACTTGTCTCCTTCCTGATTGTTTCATCCCCAAGTTCTGACTGAGAGCTTAGGTGACTTACTCCATCAGTTTGGGTCAACAGGGACCAGGAGCTCGGTGACACAACAACTTTCTGCTGGTCTTTAATGAGATGCTTAGGGAATCTATACCCAGTGGGACTGGATGCTGTGGGAAATCCCTGTCTAATTTTCCCAAACCTCCTTCCTACACAGAGGGCTAAGACAGTGATCATCCACTCTTCACTTTCTCAGAACCTTCCTATATTTCTGAGACTTTCCAATCCTTTGAAAAAGCAACACTATTGCCCAGCAACTCCAAGGTGAAAACAACAGAGCTTGCCTGTCCAGGTACTTCCAGTCGAGATGAAAATGTTTCTTTTACAGTAAGTCCTGCTCACTCTCACATAGAGGAGCAGCAGCAGGAGTCACAGACCCACCATTTGGAGCTTGAGATCTGTACAATAACTGTCAGCTTTTATTTTTCTTCCAGCTGGTAACGGGTGGGAGAGAGACTGGGAACGTTACCAGAGGTCCACATGATTGCAGGGAATGCTGGTGTATGTGAATGCTTTTATGTTATATTCAATACAACTATAAGGGTGAACCTGGGAAACCAGCACCACGTAAAACTGGGATTTGTAAATTGATTGCATGGAAACAATGAGTGGATCTCAATTCAGAAACTTTAAAGCAGGCTTAATAGACACATGGTTGTAACATCCTAACCTGAAGACTGCATTCTGACCTCTGTCTCCATTCTCTGTAGCTGGGCTCAGACTCATGAGAGGCAGCAACCAGTCCAGCATCTCCGAGTTCCTCCTCCTGGGACTCTCCAGGCAGCCCCAGCAGCAGCAGCTCCTCTTCCTGCTCTTCCTCATAATGTACCTGGCCACTGTCCTGGGAAACCTGCTCATCATCCTGGCCATCGGTACAGACTCCCACCTGCACACCCCCATGTACTTCTTCCTCAGCAACCTGTCCTTTGTGGATGTCTGCTTCTCCTCCACTACTGTCCCCAAGGTGCTGGCCATTCACATACTCAGGAATCAGGCCATTTCCTTCTCTGGGTGTCTCATGCAGATTTATTTTCTTTGTGTGTTTGCTGTCATGGACAATTTCCTGCTAGCTGTGATGGCCTATGACCGGTATGTGGCCATATGCCACCCCTTACACTACACAACAAAGATGACCCATCAGCTCTGTGTCCTCCTTGTGGTGGGGTCATGGGTGGTATCCAGCATGAATGCTCTGTTGCACACTCTGCTCATGGCTAGACTCTCATTCTGTGCAGACAACATCATCCCCCACTTCTTCTGTGACATCACTCCCCTCCTGAAACTCTCCTGCTCAGACACACACCTCAATGAGCTGATGATTCTTTTTGTTGCAGGGCTGTTAATGATAGCTCCATTTGTTTGCATCCTTGTGTCTTATATCCTTATTGCTTGTGCTATCCTGAGAGTCTCATCCACAAGTGGAAGATGGAAAGCCTTCTCCACCTGCAGCTCCCACCTGGCTGTGGTTGGCCTCTTCTATGGCACCATCATATCCCTGTATTTCAACCCCTCCTCCTCTCACTCAGCTGGGAAGGATACAGCATCTGCTGTGATGTACACAGTGGTGACCCCCATGCTGAACCCTTTCATCTACAGCCTGAGGAACAAGGACATGAAAGGAGCTTTAAGGAAAGTGATTACCATGAAATTCTCATCTACTCAGTAAGGCTAAAAAAGATCATATAAAGAAGTAATTTCCGAGAAAACCATATTTGTTCTACTGTGTGAAACTTAAGTTTTGTTTTGTTAGGAAAGCATCTACTATCTTTCTTGGGAGAACAAAGTCCGAGTTGTAGACTACATAGGAAAAGGTGGAAAGTGGCTTGGAATGCAGCTCAGTTGTAGTGTCTCTACCTGGCATGTAAGAGGCCCAGGTTTGATTCTCTCTCATGTCAAAATAAATCTAAAATTTCTTAAATGTTTAAAATGTGTGTGAGTGTGTGTGTGTGTGTGTGTGTGTGTGTGTGTGTGTGTGTGTGCCACATGTGTATGGGTGTCCAAAGAGACAGAAGTGGGTTACAAGTGTATTTGTATCACCCAACATGGTTCCTGGAAATCAAATTTGGAACCTCTAGAAGAGCAGCAAGTGACAGCTGAGCTATGTCTCCTGCCCAATAAAAATGCTCCAATCAAATCACTTCCTTTCATCATGAGTGCCCTCCTGACAAAGGGCACCGCAAACATGCTTACACTTTATTCTTGAATAAAAGAGGAGAGAATAAGCACACTTGGGGAACAGTGAAGTGTCTCAGTTGAAAGCTGCTAAAAAGAAATTATGATAAGCTGAGTTTGCTTTGTGTGATGTTGGAAAAGAATTGGGGACTGACTGTGGCTTCAGATGGGATGCTGTTATTCAGGATGCTTGTAGGTGGCTCTCTTAGTGTATTTCATCTAGAAGAAAGGACGAGATAAAGCTTGAGGTCTGGCCAAGAAGCACTGGCCATTCATGTCAATCATCTTGGAGCACTGGGTATGGGTCATTTTGTGGTTAGGACTATATATACTGCTGTTTTTGCTTTTTTGAGACAGGGTTTCTCTGTGTAGCCCTGGCTATCCTTGAACTTACTTTGTAGACCAGGTTGGCCTTGAACTCACATAGATCCACCTGCCTCTACCTTCTGAATGCTAGGATTAAAGACATGCAAAGCCACATCTGGTACAGGACAATATTCTTAATGTTCTCAGTGGTTCTTCCAGAATAACCTTTGTGATGTTACAATCCTAGAGACCTTACTTGCTACAGCTATCCTATGAAATTCATTACTTTCATTGGGAAAACTCTACTGTACCTTCCCAGCTCCTGGGTGACAGCACTAAGCTTCCTTTCTCACAACAGTCTTTGATGTGAGCACATCTGACGGGAAGACCTGACCCAGCAAAGTGATTACAGCTATTCATACTATTCCTTCCTGTGTAAGGACTGACATGTAACTGTCTTTAAAAGAACTGGTCTGTTTCACCGATGTTTTACAATTTGTGACAGGTATGTTCATAGAACCCCTTTCTCACTCTTTTGAAATTTGAGCTTTATATTTAAGTATATGGGTGTTTGGCCTATATGTAGGTCTGTGTATTTTGTGCGTGCAGTTCCTGAGGAGACCAGATGAGGGCACTGGATCCTCTGGAACTGGAGTTACAGGAGTTAGCTGATATGTGGGCACTGGGAACAAACTGGTTTCCCTGCCATTCTTTTAACCACAGAGCCATCTCTCCAGCTCCCTTTTATCATTCTCTTAATGTAGAGAGGACTAGTAATGCTTCCTCGGTGATCTCTGATACCTGTGTTTCAGGTTTTTGTGCTACAAGTCTGGTTGCTATTGGGAAGTGATGGGACCTTTGGGGTTAAGGCTTAGTGCAAAGAAGCCAGGTCATAAACAGATGCTTAGGGGACATAGGACTTTTTTTTTTCTTTTTACAAGACAGGGTTTCTCTGTGTAGCTTTGCAGCCTGTTCTAGTACTTGATCCGTAGACCAGGCTGGCCTCAAACTCACTGAGAACTGCCTGCCTCTGCTTCCCGAGTGCTGGGATTAAAGACATGCACCGCCACCACCAGGTCACATTAGTACTTCTAACATCTCCTGTGTCTTCCTTTGCTGGCAGGACCCCATGAGGTAATCAGACCCCCCATGAGCCCACACTCCCTTCTGATATAGGGAGCTTCCACAGATCCAAAACAAGAGATCAACAAGTATGGATGGAGAGCTCAGAGATGGACTCAAAATAAACCTTTCCTTTTGGTTTTCTCAGGTCTCGTTACTGAAATGAAAAGCTAAAGCCATCCTCTCAGATCCTGCTCAGACGTGTATTAGAGGGTAGAGCCGGCCCTGCTGTCCTCTTCTTCACCTTGCACACTTTAGAACACTAAATTTTATTTACATCTTTGCCATGTTTTACCTGACATCTTTTCCCCTTGACCCATTTATTTAGAAGTGTTCTTTAATCTCAAAGTATTTGGGATTCATAATTCTTTGTGAAACTTTTCAGACAGAGGCAGGACCTTTCCTAACCTCATTTCTGTTCCTGGGTTTTAGAGGTTAAGTGAATTCTCTTGTGCCACTTATGGGTTGACACCGGCCAAATCTTCCACTTTTTTTTTTTTTTTTTAAACAACTGTATGTTCTCTCAGCCTCATGACTCTGCAGATGAAGCATGAATTCTTCATTTTGCAGAAGGTTTTTCCTGATTCTAGATACTTAAATATTATCTTCCTTACATGAATTCCTTCATGGCAACTCTGCTGAAAGTTTTTCCCACACTGAGAACAGGAACAGGGTTTCTCCCCTGTATGGATTCACTTGCCCTTATTAACGTTTGTTTTATGATTGAATTCTTTCCCCCAGTGGCTACAGTCAGAGCTCTCACCAGTGTGAATCCTCTGGTGGGAAATAAGGTAAGACCTTTCTTGAAACTGCTTCCCACACAGGACATGTGGACAATGTCTTTGTTTTCTCATCTTGAGAAAGTGCAGTAATACTAATGTCCACAGATTTTGAGAGATCTTCCAGGAGAACATTATTTCAATTGTAACTAGAAGGCTTCTCAATTTCCTCTGATGTGGAATCAGAATGTTTATTCTTTCTTCTTGGCAAGCTGGAGGTTGCTCAGAAACCCAGGAATAACCCATTGCATCAATATTTGAAGCTTTCTCTTTACAATCTTGTTTCTGAAGATCTTCATCCCTGAGATCACTCTCACTGCCAGCTGAAACGGAAAACGTTATACTGTTGTGTCCTGACAACACTGGCCAGGAAAAGCCAGGTTTCTTATGAAACAGCTACCTTGATGAGTCATAATGATGGATGCCTGTCATCCCACACAGGCAAGAGGAATGCTGTTAAGTTCAAGTCCAGCCTGGTATACATAATGAGGTCCACCCAGTCAGGGTCAGACAGTAAGACTTTGTCTTGAAAAAAACAACAAACAATAAAAGCGGCTGGATATGGAGACACTAGCCTTTAATCCCGGCACTTGCAACAGAAAGGCAAGGAGACCTATTAATTTGAGGCCAATCTGCTATACATAGCAAGTTCCAGGCCAGCCAGAGCTACATAATTATGAGAGTCTGCAAATAAATTTTAAAAAAAAAGCAATAAAATAAAATAAACACATTCTTAAAGTCAGAAATCTGAGGACTAGCACATAATCACTCTTTTTCATTTCTTACTGAGCATGGGATAATGAGTAATAAATCTTCGTACCCCCACAGGACAAGAACACAAGCCTCTTTACTTCTAAAAAAATGAGTGGGATTGCACTGAAAGATTTCCTGTTGTTCTGCAACAGGGACAACTTACATAGAAGCTCTTCTGGACTTTCTCTGTAGAGAACTCCCTAAGTACGAGGAGCTGAAGGACGCCACTCACAATCACCAGGAGTCCAGTAATGAGGTAACTGTAAGACCGACTGCTTCCAGGCTTGTATACATGCTGCACAGCCGCAGCACTGTAAGAAGGTCATCAATCGTAGGACCAACTGCTTCCAGACCTGCACTACATACTGCAAGGCTGCAGCACTGGGCAGCACTACAATATTCTAGTCGAGGCAAACCTGAAAACAATTCAAATGGGCATAGCACATTCACACATGTATTTGGCCAACTAAAGAGATTTCTACCATACATACAATAAAATTATTGCATTAAAAGTCAACTGTGTTTTCTCAACAAGAGTAATGATCAGATTGGGATGTTCGATAATTCCAGAGGTGCTCAGTGCAGAAATTTTGAATAATAATTAATTAAATAAATACATACATTTTGTGAAAACTTTAGCTTTTATTTATTTAGGTTTTTTCGAGACAGGGTTTCTCTGTGTAGTTTTGGTGCTTTTCCTGCATCTCACTCTGTAGACCAGGCTGGCCTTGAACTCACAGAGATCCACCTGGCTCTGCTTCCCAAGTGCTGGGATTAAAGGCGTGCGCCACCACTGCCCAGCCTGAAAACTCTAGCTTTTATAATATATAGGCTGTTCTGTGTTTAGCTTACACTTCACAATCAAGTCTGGCCTAGGGAGCTGGCTCAGTGGGTTCAGGGTTTGGCAGGTAAGCATGAGGACCTGAACTTAAATGTCAGCACCTGTGTGAAGCCAAGAAGGGTGTGGGCACCTGCAACCACAGAGCTGAGAGGCAGACACGAGGCTCACTGGCCAGCCAGTCAAGCATGAACAGTAAGCAGAAGGTTTAAGGAGAGACTCTGTCTCAAAAAATAAGGTGGAGCTGGGCACAGTGGTTCACATTTTAATCCCAGCACCTGAAGGCAAAGGCAAATGGATCTTCAAATTGGTGGTCTATAAATTACCTGGTTAACCAGGGCTACACAGTAAGAGCCTGTTTCTAAAACAAACACAAAACCATCCCCTCCCTGGAAAAAAAAAAAATGTATCTACTGGATCTGTTTAGTTTTTTTAAAGCATAAATCATACTTTGTTTCCCCCTTTTCTAATATCTATTCCTCTTAATTCCATTTTCTTATCTTACTGCTGTAAGAAATTTATATAAATTTATATAAATCTTTACATTAAAGATATAAAATTTAATAGGTTTAATAAATGTCAGATTTCTATTTTGTTTTCAATTTTAAGAAATTACCATCAGTTTTTTGTTTTTTACCATCAATTCCTGAGTAAGTTTAAGTTAAGGGATTGAGGTTATAGCTCTGTTGCTAGAGTTGGCATTCACAATGTCCTGGGTTCGCTGCCCCAGCTATCTCAACCTGGCACGGTGGGGCATGCCTATAGTCCAGCACGTAGGAGATACAGGAAACCAGCCGGTTCCAGGAGAAACGCCTTTTGATGACATTGAGTCTTCATAGTTTTTTTTTTTTTTTAAGTTTCTTTCTATTCATTCAAATCAACTCTTTTTATCCTTTCCACACACCAGAAGTTTATTCCTAGACATTTAATCTTTCATGTCACTGTTTTAGTGAGGTTCCCACTGTCTGCCTGCATAGATGAAAGCTACTGTTTGTCAACTTGACAGCCATTACCTTAGTGAATGCTCTGTTCAGACATGCTGTACGGCTTTCCAGCTACAGTCTATCATACATCAACAGAGTTTTCTCTCAGATCCTAATGCATCTCATTTCTTACTCATGTACCCGCAGTAGCTAGAATCTGAGACAAGATGCTAAGTAGGAGCAGCACTAGTGGGATTTTTCACTGTGGTCTCAGTCTTAGTGGGATGTCTCCCATTAAAGAGGCATTTAAGGGCTGAGGCTAAAGGTCAGTTGGTAGAATGCCTGCCTAGTGTGAACAAAGTCCATCTGGGTTTAACCTCTAGCACACATAAACAGGGTGTGGGGGCACATGCCTGTAATCCCAGCACTTAGGAGATAGAGGAAGGAGAATCAGAAGTTCTAGGCCAGCCTGGGATACACAAGATTTTTTTTTCTTTAAAGAGAAAAAAAAGCATTTTAAAATCAGGAACTGGGGGCTGGAGATGGCTCAGCAGTTAAAAGCACTGGCTGCTCTTCTAGAGGACACTGGTTCAAAGCCCAGCACCCACATGGCAGCTCCCACCTGTCTGTAACTCCAGTTCCAGGGTACTCGACACCCCACACAGACATACATGCAGACAAAACACCAATGAACAGTAAATAAAAATAAATTATATAAAAAAAAAATAAAAAAACAGGAAATGTAGCTCAGTGATAGAATGCTTATTGACTATGCACTGGGTTTGATCCCCAACACAGAAATAAACCACACATTAACACTAGTTGAAGGGATTAAAAACTTATTACTAACTCACTGGACCTTCTTATGAAGAAGGGAGTTGAATCTTATCATTTCAGTAACTATGAAAATGACCATAATATTTTTTTATTGTAAGATGTTAGTAAAATTCTGTTTTAAAAATATATTTTTTATTTTATTTTATCTGTGTGGTGATTTTAGGCTCATATATCTGAATGCTTAGTCACCAGAGAGTGGCACTATTTGAAAGGATTATGAGGATTAGGAGTTATGGCCAGTGTGTCTCTGCTAGATCAGGGTGTAGCTCTCAGCTACTGCTCCGGTGCCTGCCTGGATGCCACCATGCTCTCCACCATGATGATAATGGATTCACCCTCTGAAACTGTAAGCAAGCCCCCAATTCAATGCTTTCTTTTATAAGAGTTGCTTTGGTCACAGTGTCTCTTCACAGCAATGGAACAGTGACTAAGACACTGCATGGGTATTTTGCTTACATGTATGTTTGTTTGTGTGCCATGTGCATGCCTGGTGCCCATGGAAGTCAGAAGAGGGAATCGGATCCCTTAGGACTTTAGTTATGGATGGTTGTGAGCCACCATGTGAGTGCTAGGAATCAAACCTGGGTCCTCGGCAAGAACAAGTGTTCTTCCCTGCTAAGTCACTTCTCAGCTCCCTCACTAGACTTTAAAAAAATTCAATGAGACAGGCAGTAGTGGCGCACGCCTTTAATCCCAGCATTCGGGAGGCAGAGGCAGGTGGATCTCTGTGAGTTCAAGGCCAGCCTGGTCTACAGAGCGAGATCCAGGACAGCCAGAGCTACACACACACACACACACACACACACACACACAGAAACCCTATTTTGAAAAAACAGAAAAATACAAAAAAACAAATAAATTCAATGAAAGAGTTTCTTTTATTTTGATTCTATAAGTAGACCTTTTAGAAATTAGTAAATGACTATTAAGTTGTTTTTGCATTCTGGAGATAAATCTTTGATTCACACATGGTAGAAAAATGGTACCATTGGAAAAAAAATAATAATTTTTCAGATTTCAGTGTTGTTGGTTTTTTTGTTTTTTTTTTGTTGTTGTTGTTTGGTTTTGGAGACAGAGTTTCTCTGTGTAGCCCTGGCTGTCTTAGAACTCACTCTGTAGACCATGCTGGCCTCAAACTCTTAAGATTTGCCTGCCTCTGCCTCCAGAGTGCTGGGATTAAAGGTTGTGACACCACCACCCAGCCAGTTTTCGGTGTTTAATTACACTCATTTCGTAAAAAGCAATTTCTAAAGTTTTTTTTCCTTCTTTTTTCTATATTCTGGTGTGTGTGTGTGTGTGTGTGTGTGTGTATTCTTTGATTTGAATTATCGAAAATTTAATGATTTCAAAGAATGTTCTGTGAAACAGCTTGAAACTAAAAATATTTTCCCCACAGGTAGAAGCAAATCTTTCAGGAATTTAAATCCCCTTTATGGAAGTTGTGTTACATGGTTTTAAATTTTGACTTAATAATTTCTTTTTTCTAAAACTAACACATGAATTTCTAGTTTTATATTAACATCTGTTATTTTAATTTATCCTGCTTTCTTACATTTCAACCAGAAGTTTAATTACCATCATTTAAAATACATATGAATTATATAGTAAATAAAATGAAGAGTTATGCATTTTCTTCTGAGAATAATTTTAGTTTTCGTCAGATTGTTTTTCTTTTTTTTTTTTTTTTTTTTTTTTTTTTTTTAAT